GTCCCTGGAACATCAAAACATTTGGAGGGTATGACATGTATATGTTCGTTATATATATGTTCGTTAAGGGAACATTTTCTCAGAAAGCAGACTTGAGGTCACAGAAAACCATACAGTACTTTTTTTTTAAGAGCTCAGAATGGCAACACTGCCACCTGCTGTGAATGAGTGAAATCAACAATGGAATTTAGTGCAGCCTTCGCATTTTTTCATTACTTACAAGCAACTTTGAGAATCTTTCATGCTGTTCAATGAGGTGCTTTTAGTGTTGTCTGAAAAAGATTGTTTGCAGAGGCATGTAGTGCCAAAGACTGTGAACATACCTGCAGTTGATATGTATATCTTAAAGGTAAAGGTAAAGGGACCCCTAACCATTAGGTCCAGTCGTGACCGACTCTGGGGTTGCGGTGCTCATCTCGCTTTATTGGCTGAGGGAGCCGGCGTACAGCTTCCGGGTCATGTGGCCAGCATGACTAAGCCACTTCTGGCAAACCAGAGCAGCGCACGGAAACACCGTTTACCTTCCCGCTGGAGCGGTACCTATTTATCTACTTGCACTTTGACGTGCTTTTGATCTGCTAGGTTGGCAGGAGCAGGGACTGAGCAACGGGAGCTCACTTGTCGCAGGGATTCAAACCGCCGACCTTCTGATCAGCAAGTCCTAGGCTCTGTGGTTTAACCCACAGTGCCACCCGCGTCCCAAGTATATCTTAGGCTAGAATAAAAACCTCGTCAGCCTATTTTCTTTATAAATGTCTCTGAGATGATCAGTGGCTTGCAAATCCGTGAGTTCCATCTGGGGGAAAAAATCACTTGCATCTTCTGGTACCATTTCAAGTGGATTGTGAAACATTCTTATTTCTTTCCTATGCACATGGCACAGGTCAGTTCTGTGTCCAGGGCAGCTGTCTACCAGCTCCATCTGGTACGCGGGCTGAGACCCTACCTGCCCATGGACTGTCTTGTCAGAGTGGTGCCTGCTCTGGTTATCTCCCACTTGGACTACTGCAATGCGCTCTACATGGGGCTACCTTTGAAGGTGACCTGGAAACTGCAATTAATCTAGAGTGCAGCACTTAGACTGGTGACTGGGAGTGGCAGCTGAGACCATATAACACTAGTCCTGAAAAACCTTCCTCGGCTCCCAGTACGTTTCTGAGCACAATTCAAAGTGTTGGTGCTGACCTTTAGAGCCCTAAATGGCCTCAGTCCAGTATACCTGAAGGAGCGTTTCCACCCCCATCGTTCAGCCCACACACTGAGGTCCAGCTCCGAGGGCCTTCTGGCGGTTCCCTCACTGTGGGAAGTGAAGCTACAGAGAACCAGGCAAGAGGACCTTCTCGGTAGTGGCACCCGCCCTGTGGAACGCCCTCCCGTCAGTTGTCAAGGAAATAAACAACTATCTGACTTTTAGAAGACATCTGAAAGCAGCCCTGTTTTGGGAAGTTTTTAATGTTTGATCTTTTATTGTGTTTTTAATATTCTGTTGGGAGCTGCCCAGAGTGGCTGGGGAAACCCAGCCAGATGGGCTGGGTATAAATAATAAATTATTATTATTATTATTATTATTATTGAATCTGTTCTGTAATTCCTTCTGCAATAGTTTTAGTGCCTATTCTTCTCAAATTTTAGTTCATTGCAGTGTGAAAAGTTTGAAAATCTGTCTTCATTAACTTGCTTTACAAAATGTGTAGTTTTGCTTCAAAAGCTTTCAGCTCAGAATACATGTCAGCTTTCATTTCCCCTGAAACCTTATGTCAGGGGTGATTGGTGAGTGCTAGCAGAGATAAGAGTCCGGGAATCCAGCCATATTTACAAGATTTATTGGTTTCTTCTTGCTATTTACAAAGAGCTCTGAGAGTCAGCCTCCATCATGGTGAGTCAGTTGCAGAGACTGAAGAAGCTTTCGATTTCCTCCAGCAAATCCACTTCCTGAACCCACCCCCTTTCCTTCCTCTGTTACGAGAGTGGCTGGGCCCCGGAAGTGGCTCCCCCCTCTCTGATTCATTGCTTCCTGACAACCCTTCGTCACCCTCCTCGTCCGAAGAAGTACAGCTGCTAAGTAACGGAGGCTTATCTCTGTAAGTCCCCATTCTCTCCCCCTTCTCTGCCTCCAATTCCCTGACATCCACCCCCTCCCCAACGGACCCCCTCTCCTCCTCAAGAGAGACGACTGTTCCAGTTTCGCCCATATCAGGGGTCACGGGAGGGAAACCTAGGAAAATGTCATCCTCATCTTCTGTATCCTCAAAAACATCCCTCCAGCCCTCCCACAAACCCGCAGTTTCCTGGCGCTCCTTGAGATGTCCTTTTTCCTGGCTGTTTCCACCAACTTCTTCCGGCCCCCCTCCCATCATCCGATGGTGGGAAACCCCCGAAGTCCTCGTCATCATCCGTTGACCCAAACACCTGTTTAAAGAACTTACCCGGGGGTTTTGGATTGTCGGGAAATAAATCGTGGAACTCCTCCACCAGATACTCCTCAGAGATGCAACCTTCCGGAACCCGTGTTTTCTGAACTGGGTGCCTTCCCAAGCCACTAGATACTCTAGTTGTTCCCCTTTCCAACGAGAGTCCAGTATTTCAGTCACCTCGTTGCATTGCTCCCTTTCCTCTATTTCGGGCGCTGGAACCTCCCCTTCCCCTCTACCCTGCCGGATGCCCCTTCCCTGTAGGGCGACAGCAGCGACCTGTGGAAGACGGGATGAATCCTCATGCTCTCAGGCAGCCTCAACTTAAATGCCACTGGATTGATCTGCTGTAGGACCTCAACGGGCCCCACCCGCCTGGGTTTGAGTTTCTTGCACCCCCCTTTCCAGGGCAACCCTTGCATAGACAACCACACTCTGTGCCCAACCCGGATGACCTCCCCTGGTCTCCAATGCTTGTCTGCCTCCCTTTTGTATACTTCTTTGGCCCTTTCCAAGTTCAACAGGAGCTGTTGGTGAATCGCCTCCATTTCCTCCGCAAACTGTTCCGTGGCAGGCACTCTCCACGTCTCCTCCCCCCTTCCCGGGAAAGCCCTAGGATGACACCCGTGATTGGCGAAGAAAGGAGTCATCCCTGTGGATACGTTCTCCGCGTTATTGTAAGCAAACTCCGCTAGTGCTAATTTGTCCACCCAGTCATTCTGCCTCTGACTGACATAACACTGCAAAGACTGTTGCAAGACAGCATTTGCTCTCTCTGCCTGCCCATTGGTTTTGGGGTGCCTCGCTGTCGTGAAGCTCACCTCTACTTGCAGCAAACTCATGAGCTTGCGCCAAAACTGTGAGGTAAATTGGGTCCCCCTGTCCGAAATCACCTTAGAAGGGACCCCATGCAACCTAAACACATGCTCTATGAACAGCTTGGCTGTTTCCTGCGCCGTCACTGCATGTGAACATGCCACAAAATGACACATCTTGGTTAGGAGATCCACCACCACCATGACTGCTGTTTTCCCCTTAGGCCTGGGCAGGTCAGTGATGAAATCTACCGATACCACCTCCCATGGCCTCCCTGGTGTGGGCAAAGGCTCCAACAACCCTGCTGGAGCAGCCCTCTCCCCTTTGGCCCTCTGACAGGTGTCACACCCTCTTACATATTCCTTCACGTCCTCCCTCACTTTGGGCCACCAAAATTCCCTAGTAACCAGCAACATGGTTTTGTATTGCCCAAAATGTCCTGCCGTGGAGCTGTCGTGAAGTTCCTTGCGGACTCTGGCCCTTAGGGATTCACCTGGAATATACAATGCTCCCTGATAGAATAGAAGCCCCCCTTTTCCCTCAAAACCTCCCTCAGCTCCCTCCTATTCCCTTAGCTCGTCCATCTTCCGCCGTGCAAAGGCATAATCTCTGATCAATTGCATCAGTTCATCATCCTTCACCAATGCCCCCCCACAAGTCCACCTTTTCTCGGGAAACATGAGCCTGGCTACAGGAGGTCCTTCTTCCCCCAGGTACTCGGGGTTGCGAGATAGCACATCCGCCCTCACATTCTGCTCCCCTGGCATGTACTGAATCCTAAAGTTGAAGTTGGCAAAAAACTCCACCCAGCGTATCTGCCTTTGGCGCAGCACACGTGCCGTACGCCAGTACTCCAGGTTCTTGTGATCCGTGCACACCTGTATCTGGTGGCTCTCACCAATCAGGAAGTGTCTCCATTGCTTGAACGCAGCCACAATAGCAAGCAATTCTTTGTCATAGATACTGTAGTTTAGCTCAGATTTCTTCAGCTTCCGGGAGAAAAAGGCACACGGCCGCCAATCCCCCTTGCCATCTTGCTGCATCAGTACCGCTCTAATGGCCCGGTCAGACGCATCAGTCTCCACCTGCAGCGGCAGGTTGGGGTTGACATACAGTAGCTGCTCCTCGGAAGCAAAAACCTTCTTAAGCCTCTCAAATCCCTCTTGCGCCGCTTCAGTCCACATAAACTTCTTCCCACTAAGGCAGTCCGTTACGGGCGCTGTCAACTGCGCAAAGTTTTTAATGAACTTCCTGTAGAAGTTGCTGAAACCCAGGAACCGCTGAACACCCTTCCTGGTCTTAGGGCTTTTCCATTCCACCACAGCCTTCACCTTCTCAGGCCCTTATCCAACAACCTGTAGCCCAGGAACTCGACATCCTTCGTGTGGAACTGGCACTTCTCCAGCTTCACCCACAGGCGATGCTCCTTTAGCTTGCTCAGGACTTCACGCATGTCCTTCACGTGCTGCCTTTCGTTGTCAGAAAATACCAGGATATCATCCAAAAAGCAAAAGCAGTTACGATACAGCAGCAGCCCCAGCACGTGGTGCATGAAAGCCTGGAAGCACGGGCTTCCACATTGCAAACCGAAAGGCATGACGAGATATTCGAATGCCCCCAGCGGTGTAAACATGGTGGTTTTCCACTCGTCGCCCTCACGCACCCTGATGAGATTGTACGCCCCCCGGAGGTCCAGCTTAGTAAAAAATGTTCCCTTCCACACTCTCGCAAAAACATCGTCGATTCTTGGCATGGGGAAGGCCACGGGTTCCATCAAGGAGTTGAGGGCCCAGAAATCCACGACCAGCCACTCGTCGCTTTCTTGTCCACAAAGAACACCGGGCTGCCACCCACAGCTTTGGATTCCCTGATGAACCCCCTTTTTAAGTTTTTGTCAATAAAGTCTTTCAACTCCCGCATCTCTTGATCCAACATGGAATACAGCTTCCCCACCGGCAGCTTGGCCCCCGGGACCAGGTTAATCTGGCAATCGTATGGCCAGTGCGGCAGTAACGTGTTGGCCTCCCTCTCACTGAACATATCCTCCAAGTCTCAGTATTGCGGAGGGATTCCGCCTTTGCTTCCCATGCATGTTGCCGCCATCTGGGCCCCCCTGTCTCGAGGTTTCCCTACTCCCAGGCAGTTCTTCTAACAGTGCGTCGACCTGAAAATCAGGGACCGCTGGTGCCAGGAAACCACCAGATCGTGCAAGGCCAACCAACTCATACCCAGAATAATGGGCGGACCAGCCAACGTGGCTATGTGGAAAGTGATGGTCTTGGAGTGCGTGGAAATCCGCATCCTCATGGGAGGAGTCAACAACCTCAGATATGCAGATGACACAACACTGATGGCAGAAAGTGAGGAGGAATTAAAGAACCTTTTAATGAGGGTGAAAGAGGAGAGCGCAGAATATGGTCTGAAGCTCAACATCAAAAAAACGAAGATCATGGCCACTGGTCCCATCCCCTCCTGGCAAATAGAAGGGGAAGAAATGGAGGCAGTGAGAGATTTCACTTTCTTGGGCTCCATGATCATGGCAGATGGTGACAGCAGCCACAAAATTAAAAGTTGCCTGCTTCTTGGGAGAAAAGCAATGACAAACCTAGACAGCGTCTTAAAAAGCAGAGACATCACCTTGCCAACAAAGGTCCGTATAGTTAAAGCTATGGTTTTCCCAGTAGTGATGTATGGAAGTGAGAGCTGGACCATAAAGAAGGCTGATCGCCGAAGAATTGATGCTTTTGAATTATGGTGCTGGAGGAGACTCAAGACTGCAAGAAGATCAAACCTCTCCATTCTGAAAGAAATTAGCCCTGAGTGCCCACTGGAAGGACAGATTGTGAAGCTGAGGCTCCAATACTTTGGCCACCTCATGAGAAGAGAAGACTCCCTGGAAAAGACCCTGATGTTGGGAAAGAAGGAGGGCAGAAGGAGAAGGGGACGACAGAGGACGAGATGGTTGGATAGTGTTCTCGAAGCTACCAGCATGAGTTTGACCAAACTGCGGGAGGCAGTGGAAGACAGGAGTGCCTGGCGTGCTCTGGTCCATTGGGTCACGAAGAGTCGGACACGACTAAACAACTAAACAACAACAAATAATACACTACTACAGAATTAGAGAGCATACCCAACAGAAAGTTCTCCCGTGCAACCCTCCTTGCAACAGCTGGGCACTCTTGTTCAGGGGAACTTCTCCTAAGCTATGTCCTCAGAGCATGTGGGCACCTGCAAACCCAGGGACAGACAATATTGTACAATATTCTTCTATGCAAACCACTCTGCAGTGGTTGGTCAGTCTTTTCCAGGAGAACTTCTTCTAGGCGGTTCTCAGTCAGAAGGTTTTGTATCTGCAAAAGAGGATGACAGTTCCATAATGTCTTGATGGCCTTTAAGATGGTGTCTTCATGCAGCTTTTTAGCTGATGTAGAATCCTTACCGATTCCTTTTTTTGTTTGGGATTCATGAAGATCAGGATAATGGCATGGCCAGAGGAACATGCAGCAATCAGATTATAAAAAAATATTTTTACCCAAAGGTCCACAGTGTCCATCCAGGCCAGGACAGCTTCCAAAATTCCCACAAAAAAGTTAGATCCGTAGAGAATGCAGAAAGAAGCCAGAGCTTTGATGGCATTCAGGTGAACTTCTGTGCTGACATCCCTCGCTGTGTTTCGTAGAAGATTTTTGTGCCTCCACAGAGAAGTTAGTAGTAAGATGGATGAGGAGAAAAATATCACGAAGGGAAAGAAATCTGGAGCAACATATAGAAAGATGGAATACTTACAAAAGTCAGATGTCTTCATTCCCGAGTCAGTGTTATTGCTTAGAAGTGGTTCAATTGTCTTGCATTCAGACAAGAGTCTACTGCCCATTATTGCCTTGATGGTGGAGATGATTGCAGAGGAGACCACTGTCTCCAGAAGCAGCCAAGGCACCAACCCAGGGAATCTCCGCTTCATTTCCAGGAAGAGAGGGTGGGAGAAGTTCGCAATTTTTACACAGTACAAGACACTGAGCCAAGCGGCAAACCAAAGTTCAGTAGTATTAACAAAAAACCACGAGGCATTGTATACAGTGCTTAGGTCCCTCTTCTGAAGAGTGTCCTTGAAAAAGAGGATAAGAATTGCAGTCTGTATCACAACAGCAAGAAATGCAAATCTGAACAAACTAAGACAACTCAGGATCATGTCAGCTGGGGATAGTTTTCTGCTTCGAATCCAGTCAATGCAGTTAACGATAGCAATAAATCCATTTCCTGCCAATCCTGTGAGGGTCACAACCACCAGAAGAATGAAGCAAAACAATTCAGATGATAAAGTAGGCATCTTTCTAAGCATGAAATAGGAGCGTTTCTTCCAGTGTAATGTGTAATGTGTAATATTAGCAAAGGCTGATGCTGATGCTGCTCTTTATATGACCAGTGGGGAGCAGAATACTTCTGCCTTCTTTCCAGAATAGAGAAACTTGCAGGGAGGGGAGTGAGCTATTTTCATTTGTTGATTCTGTTCAGATGCAAATCACATCTGGAAAGATTCCATTACTAAATCTATATCATATATTCTGCTGTCATTTTTGCAAATTCGACAGTGGTGCTAAATATCATCTTTGCATCTGGTTTAACCGGGATAAATGATTGTTTTAGGATTTGTTTATCTTGATTAATGTTTGTAAAGGACCAATGGACAGTTAAGTCCAGTCAAAGGCCACTATGGGGTTGCAGCACTCATCTCGCTTTCCAGCCAAGGGAGCTGGCATTTGTCCACAGACAGCTTTCCGGGTCATGTGGCCAGCATGACTAAACTGCTTCTGGCGCAACGGAACACCGTGACGGAAACCAGAGAACACGGAAATGCCATTTACCTTCTCGCCACAGCGGTATTATTATTATTTATTTTGTTTCTATACCTATCCCTGAAGGTCTCAGGACAGTTCTCATTAAAAATTGCTTACATAAAATCAAAACCAAAACCAGATTACTATCTCCCCCTAGGAAAGAGCCAGCATTTTAAAAAAGGGCATAGGATGCCAGGTCAGGCAAAAGGAGAATCAGTTGGCGGGAAGACAAATGCCCTCTTCATAGCCATGCATGAATCTTTCGAGGTTTGTATAATACACTACTACAGAATTCAAGGGCATACTCAGCAGAAAGTTCTTCTGTGCAACCCTCTTTGAGATAGCTGGGCATTTTTGTGCAGGAGAACCTCTCCTAAGTTGTGTCCTCAGAGCATGTGGGCACCTGCAAACCCACAGACAGACAATATTGTACAATATTCTCCTATGCAAACCACTCTGCAGTGGTTGGTCAGTCTTTTCCAGGAGAACTTCTTCTAGGCGGTTCTCAGACAGAAAGTTTTGTATCTGCAAAAGAGGATGACACTTCCATAATGTCTTGATGGCCTTTAAGATGGTGTCTTCATGCAGCTTTTTAGCTGATGTAGAATCCTTACCGATTCCTGTTTTAGTTTGGGATTAATGAAGATCAGGATAATGGCATGGGCAGAGGAACATGCAGCAATCACATTACAAAAAAAATATTGTTACCCAAAGGTCCACAGTGTCCATCCAGGACAGGACAGAATCCAAAATTTCCACAAAAAAGTTAGATCCGTAGAGAATGCAGAAAGAAGCCAGAGCTTTGATGGCATTTAGGTGAGCTTCTGTGCTGACATCCTTTGCAGTGTTTCGTAGAAGATTTTTGTGCCTCCACAGAGAAGTTAGTAATAAGATGGATGAGGAGAGAAATATAATGAAGGGAAATAAATCTGGAACAACATATAGAAAGATGGAATACTGACAAATGTCAGATGTCTTCATTCCAGAGTCAGTGTTATTGCTTAGAAGTGATTCAGTTGTCTTGCATTCAGACATGAGTCTACTGCCCATTATTGCCTTGATGGTGGTGATGATTGCAGAGAAGACCACTGTCCCCAGAAGCAGCCAAGGCACCAGCCCAGGGAATCTCCGCTTCATTTGCAGGAAGAGAGGGTGGGAGAAGTTGGCAATCTTTACACAGTACAAAACACTGAGCCAAGCGGCAAACCAAAGTCCAGCAGTATTAACAAAAAACCACGAGGCATTGTATACAGTGCTTAGGTCCCTATTCTGAAAAGTGTCCTTGAAAAAGAGGATAAGAATTGCAATCTGTATCACAACGGCAAGAAATGCAAATCTGAACAAGCTAAGACCATTCAGGATCATGTCAGCTGGGGATAGTTTTCTGCTTCGAAACCAGTCAATGAAGTTAACGATACCAATAAATCCATTTCCTGCCAATCCTGTGAGGGTCACAACCACCAGAAGAATGAAGCCAAACAATTCAGATAAAGTAGACATCTTTCTGAGCGTGAAGGAGAATGTCAACTCTGTTGTAATGTGTAATATTTGCACCACCTGCTGCCACCACCGCACTTTATGCATATGAGTCGTGTGGAGCACAATACCTCTGCCTTTTATCTAGAACAGAAAAGGTTTTAGAGAGCTGAGGAGTTATTTTCATTTGTTGATTCTGTTCAGATGCAAATCAACCATGGAAGGATTCTATTACTAAATCGATATTGCTTCTTCTGATGTCATGTGTGCAAATTCCACAGACATTTTGAGTACTGTATTTGAATCTGGCTTAACAAAGTGATATATATTTATATATAGAGAGAAAGGATTTGTTTATTTTGATTCATCTTTGTCCACCAACATTGCTATTATTCTTATTAATAAATTTGAAAACATATGTCTTTATCAAATGGGTATTTGTTCTAATTAGTTGGGTAATTGAAGTGGGGTGTTAGATAATAAATCACCATCATCATCATATTTTTTATTTATATCTTGCCCTCACCAGCCGAAGCTGGGCTCAGGGCAGCTAACAACAGTAAAAGTAATACAGCATTCTAAAATCAATTCATTCTAAAATCAATTCAAAATCAAATTAATGGCAACCATTGGGTTCTGTGAGGATTACCAAAGAAGGGGGTCAGGCTGTGCCTTAGCCAAAGGCCAGGTGGAGCAGTTCTGTCTTGCAGGCCCTGTGGAAAGATGTCAAGTCCCGCAGGGCCCTAGTCTCTGGTGACAGTGTTCCACCAGATCAGAGCCACAGCCGACAAAGCCCTGGCTCTGGGTGACGCTAGCCTAACCTCCCTGTAGCCTGGGACCTCCAAGATGTTTTTGTCTGAAGACCATAAGGTCCTCCGTGGGACATATCAGGAGAGGCGGTCCCGTAGAGCTATTATGCAGACCAATAGAGTGGCATTCCATAAAAAGGCAGAAGTTAGAAGAATTAAAAACTAGGAAGCTGATTGTGTACATTCAACATAATATTTAGTTAATGAAATTAAAACAGTTTCTCCAGGTTTTCTGTTTCTATAGAGAAATTTTGCAACTCAGTCAGATGGGAGGCATATAAAAAATGTTCTTGTTGTTGTCCCCCCAAATGACTTTTCCCTCCTACTCCCTGCACCTGCTCCCTGACCTGAATTGTGATGAGTCTGTTGCTGTGTGGCACAGCCCGGCCACCAGCCTAGGGGGAGATTTCTCAACCTGTACCTTTCATTGTGGGATTCTACCTTTTGTCATGGGATTCAAACCATGTTAACTGAAGAGAATGCTAACATGTGGACAGCCAGATTTGGAGCTGTCAGTCGATTGTTCTTTATACAAATCCCTTGCCTGCAGCCTCCTCTTTTCAGAACAATACTTACACTTTCCGTAGTCATTCTCTGCTACCTACCTTCATAATGAGTACAAATAGATACTTTTATGAAAGTAACATCCAGCATTCCAACTGCTTCAACTCGTTTAGCAGATCCCACTCTTAAAAATCAAAGGAGATAATTAGTGCAACCTCAACCTCACAACAATATAACCAGGGCAGGAGCGAAGACAGCCAGACTCTCCAAATTCAGGCAGAAGATTCCCACCACAATGGCTGGTCCCCCTACTTTCAGCTTACTCTATTTCTATGCATTCCCATTTTAATGCTGCTTGCTCTGTCTGAGGCACATACTGTACAGGTGAATTGTGCATTCAAGGAAAGAGCCGCAGCCATTAAGAAACACCAACATTTCTATAGCTCTGATTCCTCATGCACCTGTCACCTCACAACGTTGTGTAAATATTTTGGAGAAACTGAATATGGCTCTCCGAAAGTGAAGCCCACAATTGTGGAGGAACCCGAATTGCTAAATAATTCTGTTTGCAGTGGATGAATTGTTAAGCAAATAAATACGGTTTCAAAACAAATGAAGACTTCATGGGCATATCCAGCAGGACATTCTCCTGTGCAAACAAGTCTGCAGTGGTTGGGCAGTCTTGTGCAGGAGAACGTCTTCTAGGCGGTTCTCAGGAAGATAGTTTTGTTCTTGCAAAAGAGGCACTTCCATAAGATCTTGGTAGCCGTTAAGATGGTGGCTTCGTTCAGCATTTTAGCCAATGTAGCAACCTTACGGATTCCTGTTTCAGTTTGGGATTCATGAAGATCAGGATAATGGCATGACCAGAGGAATATGCAACTATCACATTAAAAGCAATTATGTATATCCAAGCGCATTTAATGTCCCTCCAGAACATGAATGTATCTAAAATCTCAACACAAAAATGAGATATGTAGAGAATGCAGAAAGAAGCCAGAGCTTTGATGGCATTCAGGTGAGCTTCTGTGCTAACATCCCTCACACTGTTTTGTTGAAGATTTTTGTGCCTCCACAGAGAAGTTAGCAAAAAGATGGAAGAGAAGAAAAATACCACAAAGGGAAAGAAATTCGGAAGAAGGTAAAAAAAGTAGAATATACTTATAGGAATGGGATGTTTTCATTCCTGAGTCACTGCCATTGCTTAGAATTGGTGCAAATATATTACATTTAGACATAACGCTACTGCCTGTTAATGCCACAATGGTGGTGATTGCAGAGGAGACCACTGTCCCCAGAAGCAGTCAGGTGAAACAAATTCTGGCTGGCTGGATGAGCGTTGCTTTTCCTGGTTGGTCCCGCTGAGAATCCCAGTTAATGCCAGGATCTGGGTCTGCTGGGGGATAGGTTGCTCCCCCTTGCAATTGGTTGGGTGCACGCTGGGCAACCGGTCCCTCAGCACCCGAAACCCCGGAAAAACTGATTCTCCTGGCTGGCTCGCCAAATTGTTATGAGAGGAAATTCCCATTAATATAGTCCAATTCCTTTGAGGAATGGAACACTGTGTAGAGTGTGTTTGAGGCTCTTACTGGTCGGGAGTAACAGAGACCAAAACAGTAATATTAAAGCAAAGCAGCTAGTAAGCCTGATCTTTATTAAACTGTTGCAACAGGGTGCTCACCCCTCACGCAGGAGGGAGGGGA